AGCAGTCCTGACGTTACGCTCCTGCTCGAACAGCTCATCCAGCTTATACCACTGCAAAGAAAAGCAAAAATTATTTCATCAAGACCTGGTACAGCAGATTCCATGGCAACAGAGTGCTTAAGATCTTCCTACCACTCTGACTCGCTCCAAGTCCACCTCAGCTCTCCTCAGCTTTTCCCAGTTGTAATGTTTGTTGCACTTCCTTTTTGATACCCTGCAGTAATCCCCGGTCGGATCAAAAACGTTCTTTACCAGCGGGCATCCACACACCTCGTCTACAGGAACCTGTAGGCCAAACAAGAAACCGATTTGAATCTCCAAACAAAGATCAGTTGACTTTAAATCAAAACAACTTGGGGGTGGGCTCCATAGGAGTGCCCATAGCTCCCACCTTGGGATCTCTGGAATGTTCTGGACACAGAACCTGCAGCCTCTTACAGTACGTCTTGCTCTGAGGGTTGTACACGTCACAAAAGAGTCGAGTGGCACTGCAGAGAAATTAATACAATTAAAAGCTCAAGTCCAAAGAACTAAGTTCTTCTCTACAACTTTTACCCTTACCCCTCTATTCTTGTGGGATACATAGATCCAAAAGATGTCTGGCTTTCGTACTGTTGAGAAAAATCATTTCAGAAATGGGTTTTTAGAAGCACATAGAGCAGCTACACTTTTAGAAAACAGCTCACATCTTAGCTTTAAAATAGCAAGATAACAGAATAAATGATCACCTTAGCGTAGCATCTCTCCATATGTCTCAGAGCCACTTTTGGATTAATGGGATGACCGCAGGAAACACAGAAAATCTGGAAATCCGTGTCATCACTTTCCCCTTCGTTCACCTTTGATTATAAAACAGCAGAACCTCTTTTATTTTTGACCAATCTTTAAAATCTTTGGCAAACGTGTGAGAATCGGGTTTCTGAGCTGCGGCATGCACCTCCTCATCCTGCTGAACCGCCTGCTGCTTGGCCTTGGCGATGATGCCTTCCAGCTCGTGGAAGCGGCGCTCCATGTCGGTGAGGCGGAGTCGGGCGTTCTGTTGGTCCCGGCGGATGCGCTCGAGCTGCTTCTTGCCGTGCTCTTCAGCGATACAGGGACTCTGCTGCCACTGCTGGATCCGTTGTGGGAGGATCTCGTAGATCCGACTGCAGGTTGTAAAATCAAAAAGGAAGTTGACCATTAATCTGTTTAAATCAGGGGAATTAAAGTGTGTCTAATCAGAAAATAGCTTACTTGGCGGCTAGCTTCATCCCGCAGTTTTCAGAGCAGTATTTAGAGTTGGGCCTCGCCGCTTCCACACAGTTCGGCCCAAGACACTGACGCATCCCCCCACTGTCCCGTAAGTCCCCCCGCTCACTGTGTCTGCTTCTGTCTTTGTGCTTCTGCTTCTGTTTGTGGCGGCGAGACTCTTTCTAAATTGTTTGAGAGAAAGATTTGCTAAATCATACTGTATCTAACCAGACATCTTCTCAGCTTCCAAGGTGTGTCTAAGGACATATTGGATTCACGTGGAAACTCACTTTTTTCTCAATCTTTTTTTCCCGCCTCTTAACGTGCTTCACCTTTATGGCTTTCTTACGCATGACGGGACTGAAAGCCGGCTCGTCGTCATCGCTACCCCAAGCCTGTGTTAATGAGAAGCAGGGAATCTAATGACTTTCTGAACATGCCAACCATCCAAAACAAGCAGACAAAGGCAGCATCATGATGTGGTACCAAGTCGGCATCAAGTCCCGCTGCCCTGTACTGCTGGTAAAGATCTGCCTCGCTGTCGTAGTCCTCAGAGTACCGCCTTCGTCTGTGGTGGGAATTCTCCCTCCGCTCACGCAGGGAGAATTCTTCTTCTTTCACACGAAGCATTTTCTAAAGGAAAAAAATAATTGTATTAGCTCAACCATTTTCCATTGAAAGATGGACAGGGACAACTGACACAGCAGAAGGAAATCAACTCACCCTGGCTCGGACCTCACACTGCCTGAAGCGGCACTTCTGTCTAATTTTGTTGGGTCCTCCAAACTTCTTCATGTCCTTGCAGAAGTCACACTGGGCACAGTCTTCAGTCCTTCTGCAGGGCTCACATTCCCCACACATCCGCACTGACCGTTTCACCTGGAGACAAAAGGTTCAAAAAGGAATCAGAAAAATCTGAGGAACAACTTCTATGGCACAGGCTTTTGTGCTCAAATAAAACCATTGTTTGCAATGATTCAACGTACTTTAGATCCACGTCGTCTATCGCTTCTATAGTCGGGGGTGCTCGGGGTGCTGTACTGTCTTTCGGTTCTGTCTGAATCTGGTTCCTTCTCTCGGTTTTTCTTCGATCTGTATTTCACCTCCAACAGTGGGTTTTCCTCTGCTCGTCCCCCCCAGAAAATATCAACATGAAACCCATCTTGTTAAAGAACTCATGCAAGGAGGAAACAAATGAGAAGGGAGGGGGGATGCCAACCTCTGCAGCTCATGCAGTACCACTCCTGGATGGCCTTCGCCATCTTCTCTGTGATATTAATGCAGTGCCCGTGGAACCACTCATTACAATTGTCGCAGCCGCTGAAAAATAAAAAAACAAGAGCAGAGCCCGCATTTATAAACGCTCCTGCATGATTTTACCTTGAAGTAACTGGTCAAAACAGCAACTTACATCATAAAGCAGTTAATGTCTGGCTTTCGACAAATACAGTAAAGTGGAGCATTTTCGCCCTCCATACTGTTGCTCCCAGGCCCCAGTGCATGGTCAACATCTGACATTTCACTGTCCTGAAATACACAAGGAGAGACTGAATTAGAGCAAAACGGTGGGAAACTGTTCAACCTTATAGCCCATTGCTTATTGGGATCGCTACAATGCAGTTTACAGGTGTACCTGTGCATCTAAAGAAATAGAACAATTAAAGGTTTTTATGTTCTTCTAATATTAATGACTGCTTATACATACCCCCCCCCCCACACACACACACACACACACACACAAATTCAGGTTTATGACAGAACAAATAGAAAAAAAGAGAATCTTATTTTCCTGTGGAAAGATGAATGAATGATGAGACCAAAGTAGAGCGGTTTGGAAACAACTATAGCATGTTTGAAATAAAAAGAAATAATAACAAAAACCAAAAACACCATATTTCCACAATCATATCGGGAAAGCATGGTGGTGGATTAGTAGTAATTTCAGGCCATTTGTCCCACAGGGGTTCCAATTAGCAGTAAATTAACAACAGAATGATTTAGATAATATTATGCTCTTAAAACACTGACTTTTATTTATCCCCCAAATAGCTTTTCCACTTATGGTTCCATTGAATGATGTAAATATGTGCATTTTGTACACTTGATCTGGATTTAAACGATTCCAAAATCTAAGAATAAATATAGATTAAATACTTCCTGATATACTTAACGTAATATTTTACAGAACATGCACTTTCTTTTTTTGGTTCCATCATTGATGTGTATAAAATGCAAACAGTAACTCTAACTAACTATCTATGTCATTTTAAAGTGTGCTCTAATCGCGATTAGTTCTCAATTCAAGAAAAAAAGAAAAACATTTTTCAGCTGCTGGTGATTGAATGTAAGAAGAAAACCTTGAAATAATATGTTTTGTTTACACAACAAAAAGTCCTGACACCGCGCGCTAGTTAGCATCAGCTAAGTTCACACAAATAGCTAATACTGATATACTAATTTCAAGTGGAAGGCATTCTACGTACAATTTCAACTATTCTTTATCAGCTACGTGACAGTATTACCAAATCTTAGCATAAAATGACCCAGCTGTCGTGTAAAGTACACGGCTCTGGGCCCAGCTAAACTGGCTAACTTCTGTCCCCAGAAAACTCGTTTTCTCATTAATAAGCTACCGTTTTTCATACATACCATAGTGTGTTATCTCACGGTGTTTCGCTAAACTGCAAATAAAGAAGACGAAACTATTATATTAAGGGTATGAAAACCGTTGTTTCTACAGCTAGCATTATGCTAAATTTACACTGATCCCTTCGCAAACATCCGGCTGCGCTCGTTAATATCCGTGAAACCTTCTTCTTCCAAACGTGTTGTTCATTAACCAATAGTAAAGTAGCGCCATCTGCTGGGTGTACTTGGAAGTGCGCCTCTAGGTGAAATCATTAGAATGCCATGAAAGCATTTTCAGATAAAAATGCGCCAATATAATTAATAACTTTACTTTAAATAACAATGTTAAGTAGAAATGTATAAGAAGTCAAACATAAATATGGATGTGGCAGTAACTTTAAAGGAGAAAATATCCGAAAGACAGATAGAACTGAATCAAGTGAAAAATCCACTTAATATAGTCTAATTAGATGAAAAATTTAACATTTTCCATTTTTGGTTTCAAAACTTAACTTTATTTACCTAAAATTATAAAAACCTAACCCCGAAAAAAAATCAACTCAAATTATTTATTGGAACCCAATTTATTGGAATATTAGGTTAATTTATATTCATAATTACCTTTTTTTTATTTCAAGTTTTAATCAAATCGAGATTAGAACTTTAGTCAAACTTTTAAAATTTAGCCTTCAGTAATTAAGAGTATTTTTTTTATTATTTAGTTTAAAATAACATTCAGCAGATGAAAAAATGTGATCCTTATTCATATAACAACTGTAAGGGGAAAAAATTTAATGGGTCCAAGAGACACATCTATAACTATGTCTGCTCCAGGACGTATCAATATTACAATCAAAAATAGAATAAAATAGAACAAAGTTAAAGATGTAATCAGTCGAATGAATGGTGATCATTGTGTTTGAACAAAATAAGTAGTTTGCCCAAAGGAAATAATTTCAATCAGTTCTTTTAAAAGTTACATTACTTGAGATATTTCATTTTTTGTTGTTTATTTGTCATTTACGTACCCATAGACAATGTATGCCGGTGTGTATGTGTGGGTGTGAGAGACAGAGAGAGAGAGAGAAAGAGAGAGAGAATAGGGGGGATTATGAGAGAGAAAATAAGAGAAAAAGGGGAGAGGCTGATACAAAGTTATAGTTCCACAGCTGACAGAATAATGGAGTCTTTGACTGTGGACTCATCCTGGAGTATCGCCTTTTATTAATAGAATTGCAGGTAAGAACCATTTATTTTCCAGGAACTTATTATAAGTAGAGTCAAACAGATCAACAGCATTTTCATGGATTTGTCAGCATCATTGAACAGAAACACCAACAATGACTATTGTTTCAAATCCAACAGCGTATAACAAGTTAGGAAAGCTGTAGTTACCTTTGAAACTTAATGTTACTCACTTTAACTCTCAAATTCAGTGTGACAATAGCTCCGTATATATATATATATATATATATATATATATATATATATATATATATATATATATATATATATATATATATATATATATATATATATATATATATATATATATATATATATATATTATATACATTTGAACAGAAAATGTTGGGATGTGCAAAATAAAAATGATTATATGAAATGGTTTAATTATTTTTTGCATGACTGTTGATATGAAAATCAGAATCCGGCTCCCTCATATAGATGTCAGGATGTCCATGTAGTCAATTTCATCTACTTCTTAAATGTAGGCAAAGTGGAGATGAATAATAGATTAACTTGCTGCCATTTCCAAGTTGTCCACTCATCACTAACAGCTCAGAAACCTCAGCTATTGATCTGATCTGGGCTCTGCAGTGTGACAAGACTTATTTACCTTTTGTCAGCTGCCTTAAATCAGTCCACCTGATATATAACGAAAACATTACTCCTTTATGACACAAAGATCGTTTTTCTTTTGCATATCAGGTAATGGCAAATTAACAGTGGGTTCAGTATTTAGGCCCAAATTTTGTTATATCACAACAAATTTTTATGTATTTGAAGGGGGTTTTATATAGTTTAAAATAAAGTAGCACGAGGTTAAGAGGAAAAAGAGAGGGATAGGTGATAATCAGAGTTTGGTGTACATCTCAATTGAATTTCACTTTGCAACGTACTGATTACTGGCTGAATTAACTTTTTTTTTAAAATATAAATTTAACCTATGAAGAGGTATATTTTTCTCTCTTATCTCCCTTGTTCTTCCTTAACAGAGCGATGTAGGTGATTCACAGACTGAACCATGGATGACAAACAGAATGTAACCAATATGAACATATGTGAAGGTGATGAGGTACCAAAGCTGCAGAGCTCAGAATCCACATTCTCAGAGTTGGATGCCGAAGCTGCAGATAAAACAGGTATGTTTAACAGGACTGTGAGACAAACAGCAGCTTTTAGGAGGAGCTGAACCCATCATTTTCTTTTCCAGGATCTTTGACTGAAGTCAACAGTACGGGAGAGGAGACATCCACAGAGGAAACTAAACTGTCTTTAGCTGATGTCTCTCTGAATTTATCACCAAGTAAGATCATTACTATGATTGTTTCATGGGGAGGCATATTGAAGATCCATTGGTTATTGCTTTCCTTTTCTTGCACAGAGGAGAACTCTGTAGAAAACTGTGTGCAGCTTGGGTTTAAAGGTGGTCTGTCTACAGCGGTCTATGTCTGCAGCCGCTGTTCTCTGGAGGGACACCAGCCAAAACCTTTACACACCCTGCTGCAACCCTTCCAAGAGATCCATGCACTTCCTGATGTGAGCAAATCATTCACATCAACCAGGAGTCAAGACCACCTGAAAACCTCCACAGCTCACACTGAAGCAGATGGAAGCGGTAAGGCATTTTGAGTTATTTTTGATCTCATCTCCTCCTTCAGTTTCATCTAACTTAATCTTTTATCTCGAGACATTTGTGCTGCGATCCTGCTGGGGTGTCTCTTCTGCCGTCCCTTGGACTGCCTGCTGGAGACCTTCAGAGGTTGTACCATGTGCCTCTGGTCGTTGTGCTCCTCTCTGTGTGGCTGCGAGTCTGTTGCTCTTCAGCCTCTCCTGGATCTCACCCAAAGCTGCAACCCGTGTGCGTTTCAAAGCGCTCGCTGCTTCCTGTGCGACTGCACCACCTGCGACATCTGCCTCCCAGCCACCGAGTGTCTGGACCTCGCTATGGAGATCTCTCAAATGCTCTACCACTGACATTACACATCAAAATAAGAGACAGACATGAGCTGAAGTAACTCATTTATTTAGTTAAAATCTTAACGAAAGCCAAATCATGGCGACAAGACACACATTTTTGTGTTTAACTGTCTATTTTAGCACTCAAACATACCAGGACATGTGGTGGATAATATTGCATATTTGCAGAAAACATGTACAGACAATAAAAAGGCAGAGGTGTTTGGTGTAGAGCAGGTCCAGATTTTGAATGTACACCTTAAACATCATCATTCCAAACTTTGAGCAATACACAGATGAGTATTGCTGCTGTAACCTCCTAATGGACATACAAAACTAAATCAGCATAAAAAAACAAAACATCAATGAACTGCATACAAGATTGTGTTAAGCATTTTAATTTTTGTGCCTGTAGAGCTGATTTGCAGGATCCACTCAGTCATCAATTTTTCTTCTTTTTTTTAAACTCTGAGGTGAAGCTAGTGGTTTCTTTTAAAGAGAGCTGGGGCCCTCTGAAGTCCATACTAGAAAGAACATTAATGCATGATTCCATCATTCAAAAATAAAACAATCTGTGTAAAACATGCCAACTGGTAAAATTAATTTAGTAATCACAGAAATTTTAGGAAGACAATACAGATATTAGTAATGAAAAAGCATTTATCAAACTATCAGGTATAAAAAAAAAAAAAAAGTATAATAAACTACAGTACTGTTGGAAAATGATACATTTCTTCTCTCATAAACTCATGCGTTCACTAAGAGAATGTAGTAAAGAGTGGAACTGTAACTACTCTGGAAGAAATCCTGCTTTGGCTAAGTAGCTGCTTGTATGGTTTTATTATCATGCTAACCTGGGCTAGAAACAGTCCACTGGATGTAATGGTACAAAAAAAAAAAAAAAAAAAAAAAGCTCTCATAAAATGCATAGACTGCCTTAAAGTAAGGTGCAAGGAGATTGCTCAAAATAAAATACTCTTATATACAATATGCAGAAATATTTCACAATGTGCCAATTCGCTTAACAAAAGACCCCTTCTGTAGCTGCTGGTGAAAAAACCAACATGGAGGAGCGACCAACCCTGATTCCAGTCAGTTAAAGAGACTAAATTAAACTATACTGAATGTTGGCATCTCTTAGTAAGTTTGTGATGCCAGTAAATCCTCACAGCTTTTCTCATAATATATAAGTCTATAATAAATTTAGGAATAACAATAGGAATAAAAAAAAAAGACCTCCCGATTAAATCTCTGAATTAATCTTTAAAAAATATTGAAGCACTTTACATTTCTTAATGCTACAGCTCAATGCCTCTAATATACAATATTCCATTGAACAAGATTGCATTTATAAACTTAGACAATCATTTGATCAGTTCCAAATAGGAACAATGGTAAATATGGCAAAAATATATTTAATGACAAATCTAATTCCATTTTAAGTTACGCTGTTTTCATTTATCTGAACTTTGAGGTTCAATCCTATAAATAGATTTAATAATTAGTGATAGACTGCCCTTCCTCACATGCTTCCTCCCTACAGACCGTCTCCGGTCACTTGAAGCTCATCACAAGTCCTCGTCCATTTCAAGGCTGCTCCTGCGGCTGCTGGTTTTAGAGGCACCTGGAGACAGAGGTGAAAACAGCGGCCCGCCCATCCTGTCTGGCGACAGGGTGCACCCGTCATCCATGAGGATGTCCCCCAGGCCGACGTCGGGGTACAGTGCTGAGGCGGTGGGGTCGTCCAGCTCGGCGAAGCTCAGGCTGCCGAGGTCCAGCGGGCTGCTGATGGTGACCCCGGCGGGGGAGTCTGAGGAGGGCGGGGAAAGGAAGGAGGCCGGCAGCGGCTGCGCTGCGCCTCCCAGCCCGGAAAGGTTCAGGGAGGAGGCCACTGCTGTGTTTGTGGGCAGTGACTGGCCACTGTGGGGAGCTTCTGGCTGATGCTGCAGCGAGACGTCGGAAGTCAGGCCTGAGGAAATATTGTTGGATGCTTGGAGTCCGTGGAGCCGTGCCTGCATTTCTAGCTCCTTTGAAAAATAAAAAAAAAGGTCAAACATGATCGTTCAGATGAGGTGGTCATTCATGGGATGCATAGGCAGATGAAAATAGGTGATAAGAAGCATTTATACCAAATGATACTTTAATTTTATTAAAGACTGATCAGTCAATAAAGCATGGAAGTAAATGTTTCTTAAGACAGAATTAAAACCTCTCATACAATCTATGCCTCGTCTGCATTTGTTGTTGTCTGTTCAGTTGGCAAGATTTTAATGTTTGAGTCTAAACCCAAATATGTGAAATCTTTGCAGACCTACAAAGAGCCATCTACATTCGGCCAAATGTGCAATAAGCCAACAGTTTTCAGAATTAATGCTCTTCATTGACCTGAGTGACTGATTTTAAATATGAGGTTTAACTAAATAAAGTCACTGATTTTTATGACTTTCAATAGCACCTTAATAAACTTTAATAAACCCACTTTTTACTTTTTCTGTGCTACAAAAAAAAAAAACTCAAAGTGTTTCCAGGAGTAACAAAATGAAGGCGTGATTTTCTATATTATTTACCAGCTTCCATATCCCTTAACCTGGCTGAATCTCTGGAAGTGTCTATCAGCTCTGCACATTTAAAGTCTGCCGGTTAAACATCACAGGAGCGGCTGAACAGAAATGCCAAAGTTTCTCAGCTGGATTTAGATCTAGACTGTCAATTGATTCTTAATAAATTAATATAAATTGATCTAAACAAACTCATTGTAGCTCTGGCAGCATGCTCAGTGCGAGTGTCCTGCTGGAAGCTGGAGCTTCACTCCAGTCTCCACACTTTTGAAACGGCTTTTCCCCCACAAACGGTAACAAAAAAAATATTGCTAAAATGTACCTAAAAACACAAATACAGACCTGGATGCGCAACATTAGAATGTGGTTGGCCTGCTCCAACTTCTTTTGGCGCATTTCAATATCCTTGGCTCTCTGTTGTTCCTTCTGTAGTTTCCTGATGTAGTCTACAGAGGCTTTGAGAATGGTGCCTTTATTCCAGCGCATCTCTCTGTTTGGGAACAGATCAATAGGATCATCAGAGGCAGTCGAAGAAAATAATCTGAATCTTAACATGAAAATAAGAAGTTAATTACTTACGGGTCACTTGATTTGGGGATCAGAGTACCCAGCTCTTTAATTCGATCATTAATGTTGAATCGTCGCCTCCGCTCAACTGTAGCAACCACAAACAATCAGTCAAAGATCTTACGAAAAGGAACGTGGGATAAACGAAAAGGAGAAGAGGTTCAAAACATGGAGGCTGACTTACTGAGGTTATGGTTGTCTTTCTTTTGCCTTTCTTTCAATAATGCTTTGGTATCGGCATCTAAAGGAACAATTTAAAAAATGTTATAGTGAAATTAGAGGGAAATAAGTTTCATGATCACAAAGACAGAAGTTGATGAGAGTGAATTCTTTACCAGTAATTTCCCTTTTAATCTGTGGCAGGTCAGCAGGGCAGGAGTTGCTAACAGTGAGAGCAGGACCTGCCATTCCAGGGCTGTTGTAAACATCCAGCAGAGTTCCCGGGAGCTACAGCATCAACAAAGTTACCATGCATGTCATTAACAATAAGACTGAGAAAAAAAAAAGTCTACATGCCTCAGCTTTGAAAAGATACAATATCAAAGAGAAAGCAGCAAATCAGACTAGAATAAAACATTACAGCTTAGAGCATTTACCTCAGCCCCTTTCCTTTTCTCGTCCTCCGAAAGCATCACCATAATCCTCATCATTCAAATTCTCTTACAAGCCTTTCCCCCCTACCAATTATTAGTTAAGCCGGTACTGTTCATTTCTAGTCAGCATAATCTACTTCGTCTCGCTTCCCCTTGACAGCCTGTGACGGCTTCGGCCCCGCCCAGGCAGCACTTCTGTGACGAATCGTAAGCCAGTGCCAGAAATGTATATTTACTCCCACAGCTTCAGAATTCCTCACATAAAAGACACCATCCTTTCAAGCACTTAAGAGCATAAGCGAGAGCTGTAACAGAGCACGCTTAAACGACTCCTTTAGTGAGCGATACCAGAAAAACCTGCCCGTCCTGAGGAAATGTTAAAAAGGAAGTATTCACAGTCCAATAAATGCAGTGTTCTTCCTACCGTGCTGGGCAGCTGGAGACCTGAATCGATCATTGTAATAATGTCGTCATTGAAGCTGGATTCCAGACTGATGATGTCGTCGATCACGTCATCAATCTAGATGCAACAGAGGCGAGAAAGATGTTTATCTCCACACTATAAACAGAATGAGAATGCAAAGCTTGAGGCTCTAAACACAGTTTCCCTTCAAAGACAGGCTGCAGGGTACTGTTCAGCTATAGGTGCAATATTCTACATCCTATTGTGACAACAGACCAACAGGAATGTGATAACAGAAGGTATGCATCGTCCTAGTGGCAGCTTCAGGCTCAATAGTGCAAAACAAACACAGTTATTAAGCTGGAAATAAGTTGAGGAATCTGGACTGAACTTCCTCAAAAATATCCAGTGAATCTGCTGAACCAATAACAGACCGTGTTGTGCAATCGGCTGTACAGAGAATGAAACCCACAGACAGCCACTAGAATCAAAGAAAAGGAATTTCCCATACTTCCTCCTTGTTGGATCCGATGTTAAGTAGAGCCATAGGACTGTTGGGGGCGCTGCTGGCAGAGGGGCCGACTTCAGGGGCCGAGCTGGACTGGTGCACAGGGGAAACGCCGAGAGACTGAGTGATCGCCTTGTTTCCCAGAGTGGTGGAGAGATACTGCTTGACTTGTTGCCTCTGTGCCTGTTGGATGTGGTACTTAGTAGGATTCTCCAAGTGGGTCTGGACCTGAAAAATTTTAGCAGATGATAAATGCTCTGAATCCCATAGAAACATGTTTCCCTAAAACAATGCAAGAGATAAACACACAGCCTCATGTACAAAAATCCCAAATACAATGTAAGACTTAAATACAAACATTTACTGTTTCGCTCTATTTAAACTCTTTGGTTGTTATAAAATTTTTGTTGATTTCTTTTTAATCCATTTAAAAATGTGTAGAATCAGAAACTAAGAAAGCATTCAGAGGCATCTTTAATAATAAAAAACTCCACTAAAAACATCCTCAGGTAAAATCACTGCTTGAAATCACTTAGTTTATCATAACATTCAGAAATACACAATGAGACCAAGTAATGTGGAAATATTACTGTGATTTCAGCAGGACCAAGACTGAGATGAAACTTGACTAGCTTTGCTTTTACTTGTTTTCTTGTCAAAAAGTTTAAATAAAACTGAGATTAATTCTTGTAGAGGGGATAACTGGCACATCCATTTATCCATCGTTCCTTTATGATCTGCAAGTTCTCCATATTTAAATGAAGGATCCTCAATGTGAAACTGCCCTACCAGCAGACTTTTATGCAAACATGCATCTCCTTGGGAGGCATCCATTTTAATAAACATTATAAACTAAAGAATCACATGCCAACCATCAAACTGATGTACTATTGCACCCCAGTTCTACTGCGATTTCTACAGGCAGGAAGTGAGTCAAGCTTTTTGTTTAGAGTCAGC